GAAGGAAGGAAGGAAGGAAGGAAGGAAGGAAGGAAGGAAGGAAGGAAAATTCTTTCTTGTAGCTCCCTGAGGATGACTAATTGTCGTCTACCACCACTGTCTGTACTACAGAGGAACATTAGAATTTAGTCTTTCTATCGGAGTGTCCAGGAATGTCTTACCTTCCCCCACAGCCGCCTTAGGCTCTGATAACTGTTTCTACTTCTTTGAGATCATTTTTTTTTAAGTCCTCACATAAATGAACATGTGTAGCATTTGTCTCCCTGTAGCTGATTTAATTTAGCATGCTGACCTCCAGTTGTATCTGTATTCATGCAAATACAGCTGTGTAATATTCCATTATGTATAGGTGCACCACATTTTCCTTAACTGTTAGTGGAAATGCAGATTCATTTTATGATTTTACTTACTCTAAAACAAAATTGAATGGTGTTCACCTTTTAGGATGGCTAACATACACATAGTAGATTGTGAGTTAAGAAAAAGGGGCATGAGGTTGGGGCATCTGGGAGAAGTTGGAAGTTGGTGTTTGCTTGTGAATGTGATTAAATAAATTGTATGTCTATGAAATTCTCAATAAATAAGTTATATTTATTAAAAAAAAAAAGATTGTGAGTTTTGAAGTTAGAATATCCATCCTGCTACTTATCAGCTGTGGATCTTAGCAAGTTATCTGTTTGATAACTTAGCCTAATTTGTTGGTAATGTTTAAGTTAGAAAAAAAAAATGTGTGGGGCCTGGAGAGATGGCTCAGAGCTTAAGAGCACCGGCTGTTCTTCCAAAGGTCCTGAGTTCAACTCCCAGCAACCACATGGTGGCTCACAACTGTCTATAATGGGATCTGTTGCCCTCTTCTGGCATGCAGGCAGAATAATGTGTAAATACTAAATAAGTAAATCTTAAAAAGAAAAAAATATGTGGGACACAGCATAGATTAAGTTAATAAAAGTACATGCCAGGCGCGATGACACACACACCTTTATTCCCAGCAGTCAGGAAGCAGAGACAGGCGGATCTCTGTGAGTCGGATGCCAGCCTGGTCTCCACAGTGAGTTGAGGCCATCTAAGGTGACATCGTGAGACCCTGCCTCAAAACTACAGACAGAACAAAACTAGCCACATGGAAGAGTTGTGCTCTTGGGTCATTTCGTGGTGTCTTTCCTCCTTCAGCCATGTTACAGTCCTCAGTCTTGGCTGGTTGTGAGTGCATGCTGGAGCCATGCTTGCTAGTCGCTCATTTGCGCCTTCTCTCTTCTTTTGACAGAGTAAAGTTAGAAGACAGAGGACTTCCTGAGAATTTGATAGTAAGCAATGGTGGCAACTTTCCTAGCCCATCTAGAAAGGCAAAGAAGCGGACCTCTAAGTTGGTGGAGGACGAAGAGATGGAAGTGGGTTACAAGTCCTCGAACAAGCGCTGGAAGAAGCAAGAGGACAGCAGCCGGAATGAGAAGGCCTTGGGCCTGGGAATAAAACCCATCCCAGATGAGATGGGGAAGACAAAGAGCAAGAGAAAAAGCAAAGTGACGGGCAGCCCAGCCGAGGAGCAGGAGGAGGAGGAGGAGGAAGAGGTGGAGGAAGAGGAAGAGACCAAAAAGAAGTCTCCAAAAAGAAAGGAGAAATGTGAACAGAAGAAGCAGACCAAGGCCTCCAAGTCTCCCAAACCACAGGCACCTAAAGAGTGGAGCTCACAGAACTGCAGCTTCCCCAGGGGCTCGCCCAGAAGCAGCTTTGCTAAAGCCCGGAAGAAAAGCAACAGGAGGTCGAAAGGTGGCTCAGGCTACCTGTCGGGATCCGAGTCCCATCCAGAGTCATTCAGCAACGGCAACTGCAGGGTCACGATGCAGGAGGTCAGTTTTTCAGAGAAACTCTCAGCTGAGCTCTTGAAAGATGGACCCGCTACCAAAGCTGCAGCTGCCAACAGACAGGCCTCAAAGCCTGCCTTTGCCTTGAGCTCCAGCAAGGCCAAGGCCCCCAGTACTTCGTCATCCAGCTCAGACTCTAGTTCAGAGTCAGAAGACCAGTTTGTGGTGTCCAAGAAGGTGCCCGAGGGCATCTCCGACTTCTTGAAGACAGCAGACCTCTTTGCAGAGCAAGGGTGCCTGGGTCCAGGGCTGTCGTTGCAGACCCCGGGGAGCAGAGGCCGACAGGCCCCTGGTCCTCCTTCCGGTGTGCCCGTGCCCACCAGTTTGGGGAGAGGATGGGGGAGAGGAGAGGACTTCTTGTTTGGGAAGGGACTGAGGGGCCGGGGCGTACGGGGCCGAGGCCGAAGCCGAGGGCATGCTCTCTCCTGTATCTTAAATAGAAGCTGTGAGAGCCAGAGGCAGAAACAATTAAATGACATTCTAACCAACTCCTCCACGGTGATCCAGGTTAGTGTTCAGTGTTTGTGAGTTGGCCTCCTCCCTTTCCCAGTGGAGCATAGCTCAACCCCGTGGCCTGGGTTCCCAATTTCTCACCAGTAACAAAATCATGTGACTGTTTTCCAGAATCCAGTAGAGGCCCACAAGAAGGACTATAGTCTGTTACCACTGTTGGCAGCCGCCCCTCAAGTTGGAGAAAAGATTGCATTTAAGGTATATGTTAAAACAGCAGTGACTATAAGAGTGACGAGGTTACCACTCCTACCCCCAGCCCCCCTCACAGAGCTTTCTTAGTGAACCTTCCTAAATAATGTCTGCAAAAACTGTCTGCAATTTTTAGGAGTCATGGTGGAGCCTCAAGTGAGTGGGAGCGGGCACTTCTGCCCGGCATGTGTTCTCGGGGCAGAAGGTTGGGGTCCCAGGAGAGTTGAGGTTCTAAGTGGGAGTTTGTGTACTTTTAGGATTTATTTTTCTTTTTTAGCTTTTGGAACTCACATCGGACTACTCTCCTGATGTCTCTGACTACAAGGTAAGGCTGTTTCTATAAAAACAATGAAGTTAGCTGGTTATGCTGGGGTGCGCCTGTTGTTCAAGTTACTCAGGAGGCTGAGGCAGGAAATCATTTAAGCCTGGGAGTTCACAGCTAGCCTGGACAATATAATGAGCCTTTATCTCTTAAAACCAACCAACCAACCAACAACCACTAAATTCAGTATATCAGAAACTTGGCCAACATAGCAGCACCCACCTGTAATCCCGGCACTCTGGAGTCTGAGGCAGGAGAGTTTTATATATGAAGCCAGCTGCGATAAGATAGAGCCCATTTTAAAAGTTTTTTTTTTTTTTTTTAAGATTTATTTGTTTATTATTTATACACAAG